CGGGTCAAAGACGAAAAAGGGTTTAAGCATAAAAACAATAGTTGTAATACTGCTTTAAATTGTTGTTGTTTTTCCTCCAAAAAATAAAAAAAAATTCTGTTTAATTTAATTGCAATTTTGTTTTTGTTTTTCTGAGCAAAAAATAAATATCATACATTTTTCCCTGATTTACAGAAGAGACCCACTAAAATGTCATTGAATTTAATTGCAATTTTGTTTTTGTTTTTCTGAGCAAAAAATAAATATCATACATTTTTCCCTGATTTACAGAAGAGACCCACTAAAATGTAATTCAGTGTAACAATCTTGTCAGGCATATTTACAACAAAAATCTATATATGACATATTAAAAGACTAATTACTTTCACCCCAAATACTAATTAGTTGTAATTTTACATTTTTAAAGTTTGCCACTATCCTAGGTTTTGCCCATTTGTCAGTAAGAATTTTTTACTCATTTAAAACACAATCAAATTTAATATGCTCCCTTATTCTTTTATATATTTTAATATGTACACGTCAGAAATTAAGCATGAAATTAAGCAAATATTGTGTTACACTGAATGACAATGTAACATTATTTCAACCAAATTTTGACATTTTATTCTCCAAAAACTTATTTGAAACAATCTTTTTATTCATTTAAGTATAATTAATATAATGTTAATATTATGTATAATTAATTTTATATGAATTAAAATTTTAGTATAATTCATATTTTTGGCGTTCATAATTCTACTGATTCAATCACACTGAGACCACACAACTCTGAACGTTAAGGTTTATGGTTTTTAAAAATGTTTTTCTTTCGTCAGGTTTTGGATGAGATCAGTGAACACGGGATCCGGATCTACCAGCTTCCCGACGCTGATTCGGACGAGGATGAAGAATTCAAGGAACAGACGCGTGTCCTAAAGGTCAGAGGTCAAAGTGTTTCAGTTCATTATCGGTCCTGTAGCACTGCCTGACCTCCCGAAGGCTTTGACTGAAGTTGAACGAGCGTGTTTGTGTGCAGGCCAGCATCCCGTTCGCCGTGATCGGCTCCAACCAGCTGATAGAGGTGAAGGGGAAGAAGATCCGCGGACGCCTGTACCCGTGGGGGGTGGTGGAGGTGGAAAACCCCGAACACAACGACTTCCTCAAACTGCGCACTATGCTAGTGTGAGTACACACACACACACACACACACATGTTGAGGTGTCTTAACCTCCTGAATATGAGAAATGTGAGAGCAAAGGCAGAAAAAGTCAAACTGTTTAAATTACCTTTTCCACCCTCTGACCCTTAGAGTTCAACACAATGTTTTTGCTGCTGTACCGTCAAGACTTCTAGACATAAATAACCTGACATGCGAAACCAGTAACAAGGCTTACTTAACAAATGTGGGTTTGCAAAAACACTTTAAAATGAGATAACAAACTAGTAGTTTGGTAAATTGTACAAAAATAAAAATATGAACATTTGTGCATTTTTGATGTACATTTTCACCCCAAATTCTCATTAATTTAATGAAAATGTATGATTATTTATTCTCAATGGTGTTTCTCAGTACTGTATTTCAGCGAAAAGTGAAATTAAATCAGCATAAAAATGAAAAATGTTTTACAAGAGACCACCATGGTGTGTAAATACTTTAATAGTAATGTTTGAAATAATATAATGTTTATTTTAAATCATATGAATTAGTTTAGGGGTTTTTGCACTACATTGAGAAATTGAAGGAAATGGGCTTAATTATCATGAATGTGATGTCTCAACAAAAAAACTCTATTGGTGGTAAAATAGGCTTTAATTTCTTTATTCAAAAATATAAGTTCTTATTTTCTATACGTTTATATGGTTTACATTTTAAATAATATAATATTTCAAATTTAAATAATATGAATTAGTGTAAGCTTTTTTTGCACTATACATTAATGAGAAATTGAGTAAAATGTGCTTGATTTATCATGAATATAATGTCTTAATGGAAAAAAACTCTTGGTGGTCAAATAGGCTTTCATTTCTTTATTAAAAAATATAATTTCTTATTTTATATATATTTAAACAACATGATTAATGTAGGGGTTTTGTGCTACTTTAATGATATATTGAAGGAAATGTACTTAATTTTAATGAATATAATGTTTCAATTAAAAAAATTATATTGGTGGTAAATAGGCTTTAGTTTCTTTATTCAAAAATATAATTAATTTTATATCAATTTAAATATTTTATATTTGAAATAATATGAATTAGTGTAGGGTTTTTTGGCACTACTTTAAAGAGCAATTAAGGGAAATGTGCTTAATTTATCATGAATCATGAATGAATGTATCAAAGAAAAAACTGTAATGGTGGTAAAATATGCTTTAATTTCTTTATGCAAAAATCTAATTTCTAATTTCTTTCCTTTGATTTTGGTGTGAAATGACCTGGATGGTCATATGTGACCCTGGAGCACAAAAGCAGTCTTAAGTCGCTGGGGTATATTTGTAGCAATAGCCAAAAATACATTGTATGGGTCAAAATTATAGATTTTTCTTTTATGCCAAAAATTATTAGGATATTAAGTAAAGATCATGTTCCATGAAGATATTTTGTAAATTCCCTACTGTAAATATATCAAAACTTAATTTTTGATTAGTAATATGCATTGCTAAGAACTTCATTTGGACAACTTTAAAGGCGATTTTCTCAATATTTAGATTTTTTTGCACCCTCAGATTCCAGATTTTCAAATAGTTGTATCTCGGCCAAATATTGTCCTATCATAACAAACCATACATCAACTGAAAGCTTATCTCTTCAGCTTTCAGATAATGTATATATCTCAATTTTTTAAAAATGTACCCTTATGACTGGTTTTGTGGTTCAGGGTCACATATCTATTCAGCTTTCAGATAATGTATATATCTCAATTTTTAAAAAATGTACCCTTATGACTGGTTTTGTGGTTCAGGGTCACATATCTAACTATATATCTAACTATCTTAAGGTAGTTTTTCTGTGTTTGTTTGTTTGTTCTTTAGTGCCCTCTGCTGACATTACGTTGTGTTTCTCTGTCTGTGTGTGTGTGTGTGTGTGTGTGTGTGTGCCGACTAGAACTTCCGTTCAGAGAGACTAAAGCGAGCTGGCAGGTACGGCAAATCAACAAGCACAGTCGCTGATCATCAGCCTGTACATGAACTGATCTGTGAGGGAATGTTTGATGTATATCTGTGCTGAACCTCTGTGTTCCCGCAGGGCGGCTGATGAAGATGTGATGGACAAAGACCAGATCCTCATGGAGAAGGAAGCTGAGGTTGGTCACATACATATATGCATTTGAATTTGGGATTTTGACAGTCGACTAGAAGTTTCCTACTACCTATCTTTATGAATATGTTGTGTTTAATTAGTGTGCGGTATTCTGGCCTATGGGAACGTATATCGCAGTCGGGTGTGGATGCAATCAGAGCAGTTTGTAAACATTGTCCATGTCTGCACAGGAAATGACATCTGCTTCCTGCAGCACTGAACATACAGAAACACTTGCAATTTAAAGAGTGTGCCTGTTTTCACAGGTTTAACCTACCAAATCTCCCTACAAAGATAGTAAAACCTGAAATCAGCTACATTATGGGGAGCAAGAGGGAAACAGAATAATAAACATACTAAACAATGTCTTAATATTTAAAAGTGCAAAATGTTTAGGTTTAAGGGATAGACAATATCATTAGCTCTCTATAAAAATAATAGAAGTCAAAGGAAAGACCACAAATATACAAAAACAAACATGAGTGAGTTTTAAGCAACATTGTCATCATCGTCATCAGTGATGTATTTAGAGGAGCAGTTGTATACAGTATGTTCTCTAATTATCATGATTGTTGTCATTAGACCTTAAAGGGATAGTTCACCCAAAAATGAAAATTTGATGTTTATCTGCTTACCCCCAGGGCATCCAAGATGTAGGTGATTTTGTTTCTTCAGTAGAACACAAACGAAGATTTTTAACTCAAACCGTTGCAGTCTGTCAGTCATATAATGGAAGTGAATGGGAATCACGGCTTTGAGAGTCAAAAAAACGTACACAAACAAAACCAAATTAAACCCTGCGGCTCGTGATGATACATTGATGTGTAAAGACACGAAACGATCGGTCTGTCCAAGAAACTGAACAGTATTTATATCGTTTTTCACCTCTGATTTACTGCAATGTCCGAACTGTCCTGAGCGAGTCCTCAACAGCCGGCACGTGATGCGTCTTCTTCTTCTTGCTTTACAGCAGATCACAGACTTATAAGTGCATTACCGCCACCTATCTCTCAAATGGACCATTGCCACTCTATCTACAATCTCAATTAGGAGTGTCAATGGTCCATTTAAGAGATAGGTAGCGGTAATGCACTTATAAGTCTGTGATCCGCTGTAAAGCAAGAAGAAGAAAAAGACGCGTCACAATTTGGTGATAGGAGCCGCAGGGTTTAATTTGGTTTTGTTTGTGTGTTTTTTTGACTCTCAAAGCCGTGATTCCCATCCACTTACATTATATGACTGACAGACTGCAACGGACTGAAACAAAGCCACCTACATCTTGGATGCCCTGGGGGTAAGCAGATAAACATCAAATTTTCATTTTTGGGTGAACTATCCCTTTAATTAGAGGCTGCTGGGTAATTGTGTTTATGTTTCACTGTGTTTATGTGTACATGTCTTTCATCATGAGGTGTTTCAAAGTCACAATGTTAAGAGTTTGTGCGGTAAAGTGTGAAAATATACAAACGCACACTTCTGAATAGTCATTTAGCTGGAAAAATACATTATAATAATATGTTATGCATTGCACCAGATGAAATGTTATATTACAGTGATATAGAAATAAAATACAGTAAGAACAGTGATATTGTAAAATATTATTGCAATTTCAAAGAACTGTTTTCTATTTGAATATATTGTAAATTGTAATTTATTCCTGTGATCAAATCAGTATTTTCAGCATCATTACTCCAGTCTTCAGTGTCACATGATCCTTCAGAAATCATTCTAATATGCTGATTTGCTGCTAAGTTATTATCAATTATTAATGGTGCTCAATTATTAATAATGATTCTCAATGTTGCTGTTTAATATTTTTGTGGAAACAATTGTTACTTTTTTAAGGATTCTTTGATAAATAGAAAGTTCAAAAGAACAGAATTTATTTGAAATAGAAATCTTTAATGCATATTTGCTGAATAAAAGTTTTTTTTTTTTTTTTAAATCACACTTACTCCAAACTTTTGAATAGTAGTATATCATGGTTTCCACAAAAATATGAAGCCAAACAACTGTTTTCGACATTGATAATCTGATAATCAGAAATGTTTCTTGAGCAGCAAATCAGCATATTAGAATGATTTCTGAAGATCATGTGACACTGAAGACTGGAGTAATGATGCTGAAAATACAGATAGTGGAAACATAGAGAAACAGTCTATCTGTTTTTCCTCTCTTGCAGCTGAGACGCATGCAGCAGATGATCGCTCAGATGCAAGCTCAGATGAAGATGAAACCAGGAGACGACTAAGTGTGTGTTTGTGTTTATGTGTCTATCTGTGTGTTGTGGGAACCGGAAGTGCCATCTGACTGGAGTTACATTATCCTACCCATTTCTAAACACTATTTGCTTGTCCAATCCCTCATGTTTATCAGATTAATGGAGCGTAACGTTAATGTCGTCTAATTGATGTAACCAATCACTCACGATCACAGCTCCACCCATATGAATAACTGCAACACTGAAACAAACAGTCCATTATCATGTCATTTAATCTATCGGGTTAGACGCTGTTAATAATTTATGGTTTCATTGACAATGTTCAGCAGAGCACTAATTCCAAGTATGGGTCACCATACTTGGCCACATGTCACGTCACTTTCACTTTCATATGTTCATC